GGACAGTTGTCATGGCAACTTGATCTGATCATAGCATGGCTGTAGGAAGAAAACGGTCTTTGATAGGGGCAACAAGACCACAGGATTTAAAATTGAATACCCAAATGACTCACAGCTTTAATACTCTATGATTTGATTGCCTTATTACTTACATTACTGAAAGCTTTGCATTGTCCATAGACTGATGATAAGCTAACTGACATGGGTTTTTAAGAATTAAGAATCAGTATGTGGGAAAATCAAATATAACAAAATTTGAGTGGTTGAGCTTCGTTCATCTCACGGGACTTCTTCCCGTGAGAAGTCACATGTTATATGTTTGACTGACAGGAAGACCTATGCGCAAGAAAGAAAGAGTAGTAATTAATATGGCCGTCTACGCATGTGTTAGGATCCTAGATTTTTGGGCCATGTGCTTTAAGTTTGATGGTTTTGGCTTTGAATTTTATTTCTGTTTTGTGAAGTTTTTATGTTCTTGTCCTAATGTTTTCTCTCTTTTGAGTTTAATCTTATTTCCCTTGAGCTCCCAAGTTTTGTTATTTATATTCTTAGTCCTTAGTTCTGTAACTATCTCAATCTCATCTTCTGTCCTTGTCTGTGTTTTGTTTTGGTTTGGTCTGTGTATAGTTCACAGGTTTTTGTCAAGGTCATAGTGTATACCTGTTTATGTTCTTAGTTTATAATATTTTGCTGTCAGGCAATATTTCCTGTCTTATTTTAATGGTCCCTTGTCTCTTTTGCGCTATGTTAAGTTTTGCTTACTGTCTTCGGTCACTTAGATTCCTCTCAGCCTTGATTCCCTGCTGTGTACTTATTGTCTGAGTCTCCCTCTGGTCTTTGTCACATCAACTAGCTTTCCCTATGTGCATGCTCTGGTTGTTTGTAACCAGTAAGTGTCTGATTCACGTTTAGCTTGTGCTTTGGTAGTTTTGTATTTTTCTCCCTGAGTTCCCGGTAATAAAACTATTCAGAGATTAGTCCTGTCTCTGTATCTGCAATTCGGGTCCGCTCTCTGCCAGCCACAGACTGACACATGACAGCATGAGCCCCAAAAACTCTTGATCACTATAAGTCTGCAAAGAAATTTCTCAAAATATTTACTCAAATTTACTCATTTATACCCATCTAGTTCTTAAATATGACCTCCTGATAAAAACTATAGCACATATAAAAATATACAAAACTGGATGTTTAGGTTGTATCTAAACCATGATAATAATGATTTAATAATTTAATAATGATCCCAAATTTTACGGTGGGGAATTTTTCTTTCTCCAAGACATACAGTTCCTTGAACTTAATTTACATGAAAATATTTGCAAATAGAAAAGGATTCAGTGTTCAGTTACCCTGAGCCACTCCAAGAGCTCCGAACACTCCCACCCTTGTGTCCCTCTTCCAGGAAGGGTATGTCATGTTGTAGTACTCCACAGAATCACTGGTCCAGTCACTCAGCCACAAATTCTGACCGATGAAAGCAGCGTTTTGGATGAAGTAAATCACGAAAACCATGGCAGAATATCCCCAGCCCATGGCTCGCAGGTACTGCAGGAACACTGCAAGCTTCACCTGGAAATCAGCGCGAGACGGCACTCAGGAAACAGGCAATCATTTGTTGTAATCTTGCGCTAGTTGTACAAAAACATTGTGTTACCTGTCCTGTTTCCATAGTTTCCTTCTCTATAAGCTTCTGGCCTTTCTTTGGTTCATCAGCATTTGCAGATTTTTTTACAGAAGTATTTCTTCTTAATCTGACACTAAAAAAGGTGAGAAAAATGATCTGGTAAAACATGATTAAATTATTATATATTGTCCATATGTGTTGCACATTCTGCTAAAGATGCTATTTGAGACAAGCTGTTTCCCTGGTTTAATCTACAACTTTAACAAGCTCGAACCTGCCATTGCGCTGGCTGCGGCGGATGCTGTTTTCTCGCTTAAGTGTAAGTGATACAGTGTCCTCCAAAGCACCGTCAGGTTGGGCATCGTCTCCACCTGGGATGAGCTCAAAGTCTTCTGCGTCCTGGCCCTCACCTAAATTAACAATATACATGGTGTTTTACATATGTGGCAGTAATTTATGGTATTTGGGTCAATATGTGAACAACATCAACACAAAGTATCCTTAAAAGATGAGAAAAGAAATGTAATTAATTAATTCATATTTGTGATGTATAATTTTAGCATAG